CTAAGGAACAATCTTGCAACACGCCTGAACAGCCTCACTTGCATTTCAACGAACTACAGCTTATCACAGGCCTCCTGGGTGGGATGGAGCCCAGGTCCTGGCCTGGCAGCAAGCCCAGCACGGGTGATGCTACGGGATCCAAGGCCGCCTGCGCCCTCTAGTGGCGCAACTCAGAACTCCCCCGCCTGGGGAGCCTGCTCCAGCCCCCTCGGAGCAGAGGTGACACACACTTCAGGGGAGTTAATCACAGCCAACAGTATAGGCCCTTCCTACTGTTAGGCATCACCTTCTTGAATCTCTGCACCTTCCTGCAGGTGTGGCTACCACGGCCACGCCATTTTACAGGTGTGACAGTTTCATGTGTCAATCCGTCTACTAGTCCTGCTACCCAGCCATATGTCACTGTAGGTGCTGTGGATGTGATAAAGCCAACAGTTGGCTTCCAGTGAAATTATTCTAGATACTTGGGGTGGGTGGGTTGGGGTGCCTGGGTCAATTGGCTGAAAGATCTTAAGGGACGAACTGAGGTTTCACTGAGGAAGACATTTCACCTGTGGACCGTGGACTGTGACCCCAGCCCCACTGTGGACTGCGGTGCCCACCTGTCCTTGGATTTCAGATTTGCTTAGCCAGCCCCCACAACTGTGCCAGCCAATTCCTTACAGGAAATCTCAATACTGGTTCTGTTTCTCTTGCTGAACCCTCACTGATACAACAGAAAAGGTGAGATAAATGAGCTTGGGTGAACTGACTGGCCCAAGGTCACATGACCAGCAAGCTGCGGGGCTGAGAGTCCTGGCACCTGAATGGTGCATCCCAGCGTCCACACCTGGGCATCACAATCCTGCTCCATGCCCCTCCACTGTGCTGCGATCCTCATCATTTCTCCTGTCTCTTCCCCTTGTCAAGCTCCATTCACCAGCCAGAAAATCCTTCTGAGAGCTAAACCAGATCAGGTCCCCCTCGTCTCAGAATCCTTTAGTGGCTCTTTATAAAAATCCCTCAAATGGCCTGCAAGGTCTGTGCTGCTTCCTCCACCCCCAGTCCACCCCCAGATATATCTCTGCTCTTGCCTCCTACCATCATGCCCTCTCCTATTTTACACCCCAGCCACAAGCGATAAGCAAGGAGGCCAGCATGCTCCCACCCCAGGGCCTTTGCACTTGCTGTATCCTTGGCCGGGACTGCTCTTCCTCAAGCAACCTCTCCCCTCTCTCACATTTCTCTAACGGTATAGAGTCTATACATGGTTCATCACCCAGAGCAGACCCCAGGTCCTGGAGGGCAGAGGCATCCCTTATCCCCTGTTGGGTCACAGATAACAAACAAGAAAACCCGCAAGATAATTTGAGGGTGGCCAGTGAAGTGCAGGGAAGAAGATGGGTGACTTAAGGGGATAGTTTCTCTGAGGTGAGAATGAAGCAGAAATCGTGAGAAATTCAGGTGAATGAATAGGGAACAACATTCGAGGCAGAGGGAACACCAAGTTCAAAGGCTGTGTGGTGAGAAAGAACTTGACATATATAAGGACCAGAAGGTGACTGGTATGGCTGAGCAGAAAACGCTGGGGTCGGCAAGCCCAGGGCGGATGGACAGGCAGTGGCCAAAGCACACAGGGCTCTGTAAGCTGGGCTAAGGGGTTTGTTCTGGGTGGGAATTTATGCAAAAAGTACACTATTTGATACATATTTTGAAGAGCTCACTCTAGCGATGGGATGGAGACAGTCTGGAAAAGCAGAGGCCAAGGCGGAAGCTGGGTCTTCCTGCAGAGACAAAGGAGACTTCCAGTATGGTGTGATGGTGGGGACTTGGAGAAGTGGACAGATCCACAGGTCAGCTTAGCAGGTGAGAGAAGGGAAGACTTGAGGGTGTCGGGCTTGAGCAACAGAGTGGATGATGCCAGTTACTGGGATGGGAAAGAGGCCAGAAGGAGCAGGAAGGAGCAGGTTCACTGCAGGGAGGGAGGAGAGATAAATCTGAAGCTCCACTGTCTTCCAGTCTTCCAGATCACCAGTTCTGCCTCCTCCAAGTGGCTGTAAGCTGCCTGAGAACATTCTTCCTGTTGACTCCACCCTCCCAGGCCTGCCTTGGCTCTGTGCTCAGAAGACAGCCCTCCAAGAGCTCCTCCAAGAAGCTGGGGCTTTGGGGACTAACACATGAAAAGTAAGCAATGTGCAGAAGTCCCTAGCTGGGGAGTCCCTGGGAAGTGGTGGCAGCCCCATTGCAGCCGGGGGGACCCTAGACATGGGCTCAGATCTGCACTTTGCAACAGCCTGTGGGCAGCCACCCTCTTGGAGCCTCAATTTCTCATTTGTTAGACAGGAATCCGGTCACCCACTTGAAAGCTGGCTCTGAGCAGCAAATGAGGAAACATGCAAAGTGGCTACTAGCACAAAGTAGATGCTCATGAAATCATCAAAACAGCAGCACTTTCCCAAGGTTTTCTAGGTTGCAGGCAGTATCCTAAGCATGAGAACATATTAGTTTATCGAATCTTTATTTTAACCATATGAGCTGTGTATTAGCTGGAGTTCTCCAGAGAAACAGAACAGGATGTGTAGAAACGGAAAGAGAGAGAAAGGGTGATTCATTTTAAGAAATTAGCTCACACAATGGGGGGGGGGGGTGAGCCCAAGATCTGATGAGGAAGGCAGGGCAGGTTGAGAACGGTTGCAGTTCAAGGCCAAAGGCGGTGTGCTGGCCAAACTCTTTCTGGCTTGGGGAAGGTCAGTGTTTGTGCTGTTAAGACCTTGGATGAGACTAACCCACATTATGGAGAGTAATCTGCTTTCCTCAGAGCCAGTGATTCCAATGTTGATCTCATCCCAAAACACCTTCACAGAGACATCCAGAGTAATGCTTGAACAAAATACCTGGGCACCGTGACCCAGTCAAGTTGGTCAAAATTAACCATTACCAGGTGGGTATGAATATTATCCCCAATTTATAGACGAGAGAAGAGGCACAGAGAGGGTAAGAATCTGCCCCTGGAGATAGGCCTGACTCTGAACCCTGCCCTCTGGCTCCGGAGCTGGCGCTTTCAGCCCTGACCCCAAGTGGCCATTATCATAAGTGCAACAACATAAATTAAATTTCTCCATCCATTCTGTTCCTGGCCTCAGAGTAGAAGGCAGAGCAATGGAGGGAGTTTTCTCTGGCTGAAGTGGCCTGGGTGGGGCCTGCCTGTGTAGAAAGCAGCACAGAACTGGAGTCTCAGAAGTCCAGGGCAGGGGGAGACTTCAGAGCTTATCTGTTCCTGTCCTTGCCATTACAGGGGGAAACTGAGGCTCAGAGTAGAGCCTTGCCCAAGGACTCAGCATTCAGGAAGCAATGCCAATATAGATGATAGCAGTTGTGCTGTCCTCAGGACTGGTCCATGTTAACTTATTTAATCTCCTACGTGTGAGGTAGATACTACTGTCATCTGTGTTTTAAAGAAATGAGGAAACTTAGGCACAGAGTTTTGAAATTTGCCAAAAGTCACAGTTATGTGTGATCCCAGGCTCAACCAGTATACTGCACCCTCAAGGCCCAGGGCAAGTTTCCTGGGGACAGGGTTGTGCCAGAACCCCAACCCACAAGTTAGCCCTTCCTCCCCAGTTCTCCCTCCTGGCTGAGGCAATGCTGCTAGTCAGCGTGTTCATGGCAGCACCACCTCCTGTTGACCGAGGAACATGCCCTCCTGTACCAGGGGTGCATACCTGAGACACGCCAGGGCCGGCTAACTGGCACATGTGCACACACATCTCGCTCACACTAGACATGCCTCAAACAGGTACACAAACACACAGGAACAGAACAGGTAAACATACATTCACAGCATCTGATTATGAAGACCTGTAATGTCCATACACAACCCCATACACACATGCTCCCCATACACAAACCAGGACGACTTTCCCCAAGAAAGCTGGAAGCAAGCACTTAAACACACAAAACATACAAACTCATACCCACAAACAGACACACCATATAATTTCTCCTACCCCGGTTCCCACCTCATCTGTCACACAGGGCACTCACCTCTAAAGAGCCACAAGTCAAGGCAGTTGGAACACAGATCCCTCCCCACACCGGTGATTAACACAAACCTCAAGTTTACACATACTTCCCACCTCTTCAAGGGCCAGAGCCCCAGATGGCCAACCACCCATACCCATAATTCACCATCCCCATAAATGCAACACACACACAACAACATATAGCTCCAGGTGCCTATCCCTGACACTCAGCACAGCACTTAAGTCCTGCAGACCACACACCAGGCATGTGCTGAGCCCAGCCCTGCCCACCCTGCGGGAACCCTCTGACCCGAGCTGACAGCGCTCAGCACACAGTGTCCCCTGAAGACTCACCCTGCCTCTCTCTCTCTCCACCCCCTCCACAAACTCTGGGGGCCGGCACCTGTTAGCCCAATGCCTGGTGTTTGCTCCCCTCCCATGCCAACCTCCGCCAACCAGGCTACCATACACCGCCCCCACTCTGGCAGCAAGGAGAAGGTGCTCAGAGCTGGGGGTGGTGGAGAAAGTCTGTGCTGCTGGCATGAAAAACTCATAGTCACGCAAGTGCTGCCCCCCTCCTTTTCCATCTTGGATCTCATCTCCCAGGAGGGAGAACCCTGAGTTCCCATTAACCCTTTTGTCACCGCCTCACTTTGGAGGACCCTGGGGGAAGTCAGGGCAGTGCCCACCAGTGGTCAGCAAAGCCAGGGTGGCGGTGGGGGCAAGGATCGGGCTGCTGAGGCCCTTTGCAGGCACCTCCACACCCCCATGCACCCTCGTTTATTCCCACGGGGGAGATCAGAAGGGAAGGTTCGCGTGCCAAAGAGCATGGGAGACAGGCTGGGGACCGCGGCAACTGAAAGCAGCAGCTCTCCCCGCTGCCACAGGGCCGGCGGGTAAGGTCAAGCCTCCAGAAAGTCGTCCGTCCGCAGGATCCGGAGAGGCGCGCGCACGAAGCAGGAGGGGAGGTTGGAGGGAAAACGCGCGGAGGCTCCCTACCTGATTTCCTCTTGGAACTGCCATAGTCCCTGAAAAAGAAGCAACAACAGATAGACATGGTTAGGGCGGGCGGAGGCGCGGGGTTCCGAGGCTGTGGGCTGCGGACTGCGGCTGCAGGGCGCCCGCGGGCCGGCTGCGGTGGGTCCCGGCGCGGGCGCTGCTGCTCATGTGATCCCGGCGGCCGGCGAGCCGCGCGCTCCGCAGCCGCACGCACAGCGCAGCGCGCCTGGCCCGCGGGTGCCCCGCCGGCCCAGCCTCGGGGCGCGATCAGCTGCTCCGCCCAGCCCCGCCCGCCCGCCCGGCTGGCGCACCCCACCCCACCCCACCCCACCCCACCCCACCCCACCCCACCCCACCCCACCCCACCCACCCCGCGCCGACCGAGCTGCTGGGCGCCACCCCCTGCCCTTTGCTGGGCGCACCTTCCTTGGTCCTCCACGGAAGGGCGGAGGAGGGGGTGAGGCAGGTTCTCCGGCTCTTTGAAATAAGGAAAGTGAGGCCCCAGAGGTGGTCACTAGAACCCAGGACCCCTGGGCGCTAGGAGCCTGCGTGCTCCCTGCTCCTGCAGTACTTCCGCCCCCCGTTTTTGCATTATGCTCACCGAACCTTTAAGTCATGACTGGAATGTCAGCGCATCTTCCAGGACAGACCCCCTTCTCCTGCCGGCCTCCCCATAATTACAGACTTGCTGACCCTTTGATTCAGGGCTGGCCCCCTAAACCCAAAGGTCCCTGAGGTCACACTGTGTGGCCTGTTTCCTCCCACTACACCCCTCCCCCCCAACCCGTGCTTGGCCTAAGCTGTAGGGAAATAGTGGCTATAGGCTGAATGTTGAACCTTTTTCCTTAGGGGCTCAGGCTGGGAAACTGGGGGTTCATTCAGTAGGGGTGAGGGCAGAGCACAGTGAAGGGTATGGTAGCACAGAGCCAGGAATGGTAGCAAAACTGCAAGCACAGGGTTCAAGGCCTGTCGCTGCCATCTGACAATAGCTGTTGGATGACCATGGCCACTTAATACCTCCCGGCCTCCACTTACCCCAGTCAGGAGCCCATCCTGCCCAGGTGGCCCAAGATCAGCCCAAACAAATCTGGTCCTCAGGCACCCACCAACTCCTACCATTCACCTTTCCTCAGGGATGTCAGGTGGGACTGGCTGGGAATCCACCTGGAGACTAGAGAAAATGCCTTTCATTTCCCCCAAGAGTCAGTCTAGAGCAGTTGCCTGTCTGTGGTCACTGAAGTAGCCAGCCAGGTCTGCCTGCTGACAGGTTCAACCACATGGAGACTCCCCAAGATTCCGATTCTGGATGTCTGGGGGTGGTATGGGCTTTGGGGGTATTTGTGAAGCTCCAAGGTGTTTGCCTGCACAGATAAGAGTAAGGCTCCCCCTTTTTCAGGTTCCTTGGTTTCACAAAGTTTGGGCCTAGAACCCAATGACTAGGAATGCTGGAGCCAGGTCCAGAAACCCACATTCTGGACACGGTCTCCCTCGCCACCCGCCTGCTTGAGCAGCCCCTTGGTATTCATGTCTCTGTCAGTCCTCGCATCCACACCAACAGAGAGGTCCTTATGCCCTTTTATGGTGAAGAAACAGGTTCAGCCAATGCTAAGGTCACCTAACCTGGGGAAGCCCAGCGGCTTAGAAGCCCATTAGCAGGAATGAAAACTCTGGTGTGTAGGAGGCAAGAAGTGCTGCAATAGAGGAGAATCTGGTCAATCTCTTCCCTCTGAAAGGGGTCAGGAAGGTGGGAAAATCCCCATTTGTCCCATCCTCCCATCTGGACCTCGAAAGTACTGCCACAGGTATGTTCACCTTCCTGGGGTAGGCAGGAGGTGGGAGAGCCCATTCAGGAGGCCCTTGAAGCACCACTGTGTGGAGGATTCCCAGTGAGGAGGCATTATAAGGTGGCTGTGTCCCGCCCAGCAGACTTCCCATTCCTAGGAGGGAATTGTAGGCGCTTTCTGCAGTGTGGCCTGTGGAAAAGCAGGGGATGGCTGGCTGGGAGAAGCTGCCCCCCGACCCCTGGCACTGCCTCTCTCCATGGGTCCTACAGGAGAAGCCCCTGGACCTGAGCAACCCCTGGCTACCACCAGGCCAGAAGAGTGGTGTCCTCATGTTGACGGCTGCCCTCTCCCCTCTGTACAGCTTCAGGAATGGATTCTCTCTGAATCTGTCAACAGCCCCAGTGGGGACCAGGCCATTTTTGTGTGTCGGGGAGCACAGAGGCTCAGGCTGGGACTGGGACAAAATTCAGTCGCTGAGTGCCTGGGTGCCAGGCCTGGTCAGCGATCTCGGCCTGGTCATTCAACAGGATCATCTGGGAGCTGCTTACAAATTCAGAAATGGGGCTCCACCCCAATCCACTGCCCATCTGTGTCTCCAACAAGCGCCCCTGTAGAACCAGTGTTGGCCAAGAGCCTCAGGCCCAGCGCACACTCGGCCTCACCCTGTGTTTACAACTCTGACAGGTGGGTAGGAGTGGGCCAAGGGGTGCTCTAGTACCTGCACATCATCTGTACCAGGCCCATCACCCCAAGATCTGTTTATGCTTACTAAGAACAATGCATTTGCCAAAGGGGCTTTGAGACAGCTCCCCCAGCCTCTCTGTTCTAGCCTATCTGTCCTTCAGCCAGAGTATAAGCCTGACCTATTAGGCCCTTCTGACACCCTTGCAGGGGATGTGGTCTCCTGGTATTGCAGGTGAGGCAGCAGAGCTTAGCGACACTACACCACTTATTTAAGTCACACACTGGTAGCTGAGGCTGGGATTGGGAGCTGAGAACCCAGGTCTGCCTCTGGGGCTCAAGACAAATCTGCAAACACTGCCGTCTGGGAGCAGCACATGCAAGAGAGAGAAGGGGAGGCCAGGCCCCGAGCTCATGAGCAGAGGCTGAGGTCCCCGCAGCCGGGGCTGTGAGTGAATAGTGGGAGCAGCAGGCAACCGAATCCTTCCCAGGCATCTGGCTTCCAGTCTGTGAGAGCGGGCGCTGCCCTAATGGGAAACCTCTTGGAGGTTTCCGGTTGGGCAGCACCTTTCAGCTAACCCATCTTGTATTTTTAGCTGCTGAATATGTTGAGAAGCAGCTTAGGTATCCAGTGGCTGGGACTCCCCCAGCCCTCACATACCAGGGCATGGGGAAGAAATGACTCCCCACCTCTGGCACACCCACTTCCCACTGCCCTGTCCCAGGTCGGGGTGGACGTGTGCCTTCGGGAGGGTCTAGTTCTTGAACGACTCAAGAGCCCCTCTCCTGCCCTCCCAGATCCAATTCTTGCCCTGAGTGGGAGCCGATGGCACCCACTCGGCCGGTGAATCCACTCCTGGAAGGTCACAGTCTAGCCTGCTTCCGACTTGCTGCTGAATCACCATCTCCCAGGGAGGACAGGAAGAAGGGAGGGGCGGGAGGCAAGCATCTCCCTCCAGCAATGCCAGAAGCTAATGTAATTGAAAAGCCTCTGGGGCTGTGTCCTGAATTGTTCCATCAGGCCATGCAGCCTTCTCTGCAGCTGACCCCCTTCTCTGCAGGGGGCACTGAGATCTCAGGTACAGTGACTACCCCTCTCTGCACACAGGGACATGAGATTTGGGGTTCGAACTGGAAATGTTCCAAATAAACCCAGCCTAGCAGGGGCAGGGGGTGGATTTCCTCCACCCTAGCCCCACCCCCACCCCCATTTAAATGGAGACTCATGAGGCCTCCCCCCACCCCCACAATATTAACTGCTCATCTCCTGGCCCATCTTAATGGGTTAATACTATCTGCCCACTGAGAACTTGTTCTGGAAGCTAAGACCCAGTTCCACTGTGATACTTGCTGGCTAGGTGGTCATCTTGAGCTGCCTTCTTCACTCCTGAGCCTCTATTTAAAATTCTCTACCTGTAAAATGAGGACGTGGGGAAGATGAAATGGACAGAGCACCTAAAGGGTTGGCATAGCACCGGCACAAAAAATGCTACATAAACTGCCCGTGTTATCAATCTTTCATATCTGGGCCTGACTCCTCCCCCAAGAGGTTTGTTTAAACGTGGACCCTGAGAAACCCTCAAAAGGAAGGGGTTTAAAGACCACATCCCAGGCTGGCAGCCCAGTGCCCAGGGGGTGGTGCCAGCCCCATTCTCAGCTCTGGTCTCATCTGTAGTGCCGTCTGCCTGAAACAGCCCATTTCTACACTGAGTGTTCGCACAGGGCTCTGGCAACAATCGTATTTCAGGGTGACACTGACCCATGGGAATTGACATCCCCTGGGCTCATTAATTGGGCTGTGTTTCACCTCCCAAGGAGTGACCAGCTCTCAGAGCCACAAACCATGAAAGAGAGGACCTGGTGCTGTCTACTGGCACCTAGGGGATGGCTTCTCCTTTCTCCCCTTTCAGTTCCCGTGGGGGAGGTGTGCTGTGCTCCTTCCCCAGACAGTCTAGAGAAGGGGCTTGGAGACAGCAAAGGGGAGAGGCTGGATGGAGGGGCGGGAAGGTATGGCACAATGCCTGTGCGTTGATCACTGTGGCTTTTTTTTGTTTTTGTTTTTGTTTTGCACAGGTCTCCCTGCTCCCTGCCTCCCTTGAAAATTGCCAGCAGGCTTTTGGCCCTCAATGCAATGACATGGGCAGAGGTGGTGTTAATCCATTCTGTGGATAAGGGGACTGAGGTCCTAAGGACTCTGGTGGCTTGCCCAGGCTCAGGACAGCCCTGACCCAGAGTGCTTCCCACATTGAGGCTCTCCAGGGCTGGCCTTCAAGGAGAGGCACACATGCAGCAGGCTTCCCAGAGTGAGCGGTGGGGCCAGGAAGAGCACAGAGGCAAGGAGAGGTCACGCTGGGCCAGCTGAGGTAGGATGCTGCATGCCCCCGGGGGCCATTCTTGGTGCTTTGGGGGGCTCACACTCTGCTGCCTGTCCATCGCCCCTCCCTTCCCACTCACTCCTCCTCAAGTGCCCTGGCAGAGGACAGTGACACTAACTTCCAGCCTGATGTTCTCACCCTCCTGCTGGCTGACCTTGGCTGCTAGACCCAGGACGCCCATCTGCTAGG